AATCTTGATACGTATCGAAATGTAACAAGAACAAACAAAATGTAGATGGGCAATTACTTGTTTATGCTCCTTATGGTTTTTGAACTAGCCCGTCCCCTATCGTTTTCCGAGGAATTCGCCTAAGGCACTTGCAGGGACCAAAGTATAAGTAACCCTATCGTTTTAGCGCGTCCCCTATCGATCTTGGGGGTTCTGGCTCAAAAAACTACCCTCTACACTAAACTACATTGACGATAATTTTGACCCCATCTCATATACATATATATACATATGTATTGTCCCAGCATCTATCCACTCTATACATTGCAGAATATTTTGGTGACGAAGACTGCTACACTTCCCAACCTGCCCTCTTGAGCAAAGCTCCAGAAGTCTTCTTCGCTGCGTGCCGGTTTCGGATGCGTCTTTGCACAAACAAGAACACGGATGCGTTTTGTTTTGTTGTGTGTGTGTGTGTCTGTTTCTCTCCGTGTGTGCGGTGTGTATGTGTCTGTGTGTGTCTGCTTGTTTATTTGCGTGTGTGTGCGCATGTTAATCCACCCGCCAGGGACTTGAAAGACCGCAGAAACCCTCGTGTCAATGTTCTTTCAGAGCATGGAAGGCTTATCGCCAGGCCCTCCTTGAACACTGGACCGACATTCCAACAAATCTGCGAGTATCCTCAACCCTATGTTGTCCCGGCCGGGACGGAACAAGCTCAACTTGGTCTACACGCACATGGACATGCTCCGAACTACCTTCTTGGCATTTGAAAGCCGGCATCAGAAGCCAATGCCTTCTGGGGATCTTCATCCCCTTTGGCGCAAGCCCTGTGACGTGATCAGATAGGGAGAAACGAGTTGCGTCTTGCGGCGCATGCGTGACCGGAATCGTGCGCCATTCAAAAGTGTGTTAACTCCAACGAGGAATCGTGCTTCTTGTCTTAACAACCCAGTACAGGACCGCAGCTCGGTTCAGGAACCGCCGCGAAGCTTTCGCCACACCGGTTTGGACGGTCGCGTTTCAGACACGAGCATCACTCGGTAGCCCCTGCACAAAAGAAGTCTCTGTCACTTGCAAAGCATCCCATGGGCTGTCATCTCTCGCGGGGCTTCCGTTGAGAAGAATCTGCAACTAAACCCGGACCCTGCCCATGAATGCACATCGAAGGCGAGTGCCCACAACAACTGCGGCAATGCCTCCCTGTAGTCGGTGTGACTTGAAACCTTGGAGTAGAGACCCCTGAGGCATGAGATCTGAAAGAGCCAACTTTCAACACCATTGCAGGGTTTGCACAATTGCTCGGAAATTGCATGCAGCCTGAGGATGAAAACTTCGGCCACACTGCTGAGCTTCGGTCTTGTCCGGATTGGACTCAATGAAATTCCTGTGGCAGATTCTGGATTGTGAAGGTATGCCAAAAAACTACCAGGCGACTGTCCGAATGACGGAAACAGCAACGGGCCTTGCATTTACTATTCAATATCATGGGATGCAAGGCATCCGTGGTAACGAGATTACGACACTACCAAGGGAGCTGCGACCAAGGCAAAACCCGACATGAAGACAACCCGATGTGGCCTCACGGTGCCCAAGGTGGCATTGAACCGTTCCTGATGCACGCAATGCAGCCATGCAGCCAACTCTGTTCCAACCGAATGCTTGTCTTGCGGCACTGAAGTTTATGCCAAAGCTCGTTCCAGTCGTCGACCCAAACGTAGCCACCATTGCCAGGCCTGCATCCGATCTCATGCGATCAATCGCGCAGCTGCCATGCACACGAGGTGAACCGAGATGAACCGAGGACTCCTGAAAAGCGAACTGAGGCATGACTGCTTCTTTCGCCCCACAAGTACAATTCGGCCTGTGATATTCAGTGATAGCTGATCTCTCGAAGGTACAAGTCTCTCAACATGCGCACTGAAGCCTACAGAAGTCGTAGCAGAGCATTGCGGAATAGCATTTCTGAAACCCGGAGTAGCCCCGGACCGCTTCAGCTGGCTGATGATCTCCCGCAGGGCTGCTTCGGCGAGCTGGTCCTGATACCCACAAATCAGATGGCGCTGGAAGTCCCTGAAGTCCCCAAAAAGCGCTGCAAAGGGTCCTTCCGGTCCGTCGCCGCCTTGCGGCTCTCGTCAGGCACCTGCAGTGAGAGCAATCTTTTAGAAAAGGCTTCGGCTTCTTCCTCACATGAAATGAGACGCCTCCTGAACTTTTTCCTTGAAGTCTGCCCCCGCAACCTTGGTAACAATCGGCCCGTCATCGGCTGAAACGATTGACTTGGTTGAGTACGTCAATCCTCAAAGCGCTGGGCAGCTCGGTTGGATAGCTTCATGTATTTAAAATATTCGAAGCCGTGCGGCCTCTTTGATATCCACGCCCCAGAGGCCCTTCTTCAAACGTCAGACATGCAGTGTCCCTGTTCCCATCGAGGCCCATGCAGGCTTCCAGACTGCGCGCGATGAAGTCTGCGCCTTCAATGGCTGGCATTTCGCAACAATTACTGCGAATCATGCTGCATTGATCCACTCCACTCTTGCGCACTGCGTTCCGCATCCGACCAAGCCGCAACACAAGAGTGTTACAGAGACTACAATATCACCAGACCTGCTTAATGACGCAGACATGGGAGTCCGCAGCAACTGACTGCTGAAATTTCCGCTAGCAGCAGCAAGGCGCTTCAGCATGACCGCCACCCGCTGCCCCACATGACGGCACGTCCCCCCACTGCCAATCCCAATTCACCCCATCCCACAGAGGAAAGAGTCTGATGGCCTTCGGCTGCCGCGGCTTCGCTTCCGCGTCCTTACGAGATCAGCGGGCATGGAGTCAAAACTGCTGACTGAGCGAAGCTCCTGGGGCGAAGAAGCGGACTGAGCTGACCCAGAGTCTGCCTGCGGGGCAAAGGCTCCGGGAGTCAAGCACCCTGGCCGGAAAGATGTTGGGTACCGCGCTGGGGTTGGCATGCTTGCTGGCTCCTGGCACGAAGGGGCAAACACAATCAAAGCACGCCAGACTGACGGCTTTTTGGCTTGTGTCCTGTGCGAAATCCACGCTGCCAGCTTGGCCAGGTGTCCGTCGAGCCCTGCAAGTGTGAGGAGGTCCAACTTTTCGTCTAAGCTCGCTCATGTGAGAAGCGGGCCAGCGCTGGACTCGAACTTGACTGCCTGTCACGGTTTCTCTTCGACTAACGGCTTGTGTGCAGAGGCTGTGCCGGCTATGTTTGAAGCCACAAGCCCGTAACATGCCTGAGCTGTCGTTGCGTTCAGGAATAAGTCGCTGCCACTCCATGTCCGGCCTCAGATTACGTATTCTGCTTGCCTGCGGCTCTGGCAGCGCCTCCCTAAGCTTCAGTCATGCGCATTCGTCATTATCCAACCAGCCCTACTGGGATGCTGACCGCTGGCCACAGCCTTGTTCGGCTGCGAAGCTTTCAACGGTTTTCAAACCATCGTAAGACGTTTTCAAACAAACGCTGCAAAATGCATCGGTCGGCGGGTCTGGTGCTAGTCGAGGCGCCTGGGTCGCGCCACACGAGGCTTGCTGGCTCAGACGTCCAGTCAACCTCAGACCTCAGGAACAGCGATCGCGAGCTTGCGAGGGGATACGGTCGGTCAGGCACAACTTACATCCAGCAATCCAAGCACCGAGCAAATCTAGGAAATAGAGTCTGTCCTTTCCCCACCACAGGAACCTGAACAACAATTCTCCGACAACTTAGTATCATGCTGCATCAGCCGCTTGGTCCAAAGTCTGCAGGTTTGTCTTCAAGTATCTTGACCAGACCCTGGTCAACAACCCAACTGTCAAGCGGTACGTCGGATGCTGTGTGCGATGGGACTCTCAAGCGCCCCGAAGCGGCTGCAGCATGAACAAATGCAACCGTCTGTGGAATGTAAGCATGCATGAAATTCAGCTATGTACAATCGCCTGTACATGTTTTCCATCTCCTTATGCATGCAGTCAAGCATATGCATACGTGTATGTATAAACACATATATACATATATATATGCATGCACACACACACATGTATACATACATACCTACAGACATACATACATACCTACATACATACATACATACCTACATACATACATACATACATTACATTACATTACATTACATTATATTACATTACATTACAGTACATTCATTACATTACATTACATTACATCTGGATGGGTGCCTGAATAAACAACTGTGCGAGTATACTATCTCGGATGGTGGTTTGCGACGGTATTCCATTACATTACATGTGCAAGATTGTAGGGACAGTTTGAGACGGCACCGGCCTTTCTCGAATGTCCAAGTACAGCGGCACATCTGGCTGTGCAGGTGAATCCTGCAGTGTTGCAGCGGGAGGAATTTGGATGCGATATCCGATATCAGATCTCAGATCAAGCCTACTTACGGACACAAGCCGAAAGTAAATGTGCCAGCTAAGCACGGCTCAATTGCAGAAACACCACTTGAGGCATGCAGCGGCCCTGAAAGCTCGTGGAGTCGTGGAGTGCCGTCGGAAATATGCCGCCCACCGCACACTGCCTGTCCTGGTGCACGCGCGTGACGTGGATATCATGGAGGTCCCCGAAGACCACCTGGTACTTGCAGCCTCCCGACACACACCAAGAGTGGACACTGCGGATCTGTGTACAAAACTTTGAAGACAAGGACTCCGGCTCTTGGGAAGCCCCACGCAGGCGGCTACTTCGACGTAGCTCGGAGGGTCGACGAGCACTTGTAGCAGCGACGGGAAGCTGGACACCCAGGAGCCGTCGGGATCCGTCGGGCATGTGGCGAAATGTCCTTTCAACATGATGGGGAAGCTGGCCGGTGGGTCACTGCCCACTCGAGGAAGGGCCCTTCTTGCTTCCGTGAGCACTGCTTTTGTGCTCGCTCTTCGAAGTGCTTGCAATCACTACTACATCGCGAGACCCGACCCTCGATTGCGGCATGTTGCGGCCGACCTGTCTACCACCCCGCAACATCGACTGGGCATCGGCGACATTCCGAGCATGTCTGAGTCTAACTAAGTGGTATTCCTTTGTGTCCACGGGGCCTTGCCGCCCGAGCCATTCACCGGCAAGCTGCTTCTTCAGAGAAGTCAAATCTACCTCGGGAGATGTCTGATCCTAAACGGGACGACCGTGCAAAAGATAGGAGCGTGCAGCGAAATCGAGGTTCAAGGAGCCGAAGATGGGATGCCGGCATCTTGTGGCGTTGGAGGCTGAGATGCCGTTAGCTCCTCGCAAACTTCTGTTTCTCGTTTGACTCCACGCACGCGAAACCCGGCTTTTCCTTCACTGAAGTGGAGACACATCATCCCATATCTCACGGGTCAACCCCAGCTTCTCTGCTGATGTTGCTATGCTAGCAGCTGTAAGCAGCTGCTAGCAGCTATATAGCATTGCAGCAATGGCCCACCTGCCTCCGAGTTTGCTTCCGTGCTTGGTGTCCGACAAAGCTCCTGCGCCTGGAATGTGAGCACCGCCGGCTGCAACCCCCTAGAGGCCCTAGAGTACGAGAGGAGCTCATCATACGGTGACCTGGCTGGTCTCGTCCACGCAGCTGTCCTTGGAACTCGAAATGCCCAGGCCTAAACTCCCACAAGTCTAAACAGATTCCATGAAGTTGACCGGAAAGGCCACAAGCTTCTCCGAGCCGCAAGGGCCAGCGACTTCCTGTGGCGCTGGTCTTTTCCCGGCCTCTCAAAAGGCACAGGACTTTGATCGGAATCGAAGACTCAAGACAATGATGTACCGTGGCGCCGAAGCTTGTGCTAAGACTGGAACCGATCTGCCTGAACGCTGGCCTTTGCTGTGGAATGAACTGACCAGTGTGATTGACTTCTGCGGTCGCAGTCCGACACCGATGCTAAGGGCCATACAGAGTAGCATCTGTCACAGATCAACTGCCTGTGCAGACTCCGTTCTGCTCACTCCACTCCACTCCACTCATAAAACAAAAGCAAAACCATCGTTAGCGTTAGCTGCGGTGACAGCACGCCTGCATGTTGAAAATGAACTGTCTTGATATCACTGCTCTGGCTGCTGCTTCTACTTTGTCGCTGATGAGCCGACCCCCCAACTGATCCAAGGCCTTGCCGTCACGTCATCGTGGATCGGCCTCGACGCAGTCTTAGCTCCAAACTTCCCAAACCTTTCACTGGCCCTGTCAAAGCCCTCCCTGGAAGAGTGGCTACTTGAAGCCTCAAGCCCGGTTGATTACAGAGACTTTGGATATGCGCCCAGAAAGCAGCTCTTGAATTGGTCGCTCGACGTATTTGCACGAGCCGCTTCGCGATGCGACAGCTTCTAGAACTGCTTGCCGCAAACGCGCCGAAAGTCCCGGCCTGGTGCACTGGGAGCAGCGAAGCTTCTTCTTCCCGCTGCCGATGAGCCCCTCCCACTGTTTCGACCGATCCTCTGCAATCATCTGGGCCAGGCTCAGGAGGTAAAAGCACTTAAATCTTTCCCACAAAGAGTGGCACATGGCGGGTTCCTCAGCGGGCAACTCCTTGAGAATGCCCTGGCTGGCACCCTGCAATTGAATTGGATGATGGAGCCCAGCAGAGATGCAAAAGCAGCGATGGACTGTCCCTCTCTCTGCCTTTCGGTCCAAGAGCCGCTGCAGCGCCCCCTGGTCCAGGCCGCGGCCAGCCTGGTAGGTCGCAGGCATCTCAGCAGGACCTCATCTTCAACTCAGCAATTTCACACGTTTTGCTCTGCCAGGCTCGAATCATCCAAGGCTCCGACAAAACTTGGCTTGGCGTGGTCCGATGCTTGATGGGCACGTCTACTTCGACCGCTCACTAAGCTGCAAACGTCCCCAATGGTGTGTGGCTGTTTTTGTGACGAAGGTACGAGCATGGGCCAAGCCTGGCTGCTCGGACTACGAGGGGGTGGGGTCCTGGGGTGGCTGGTGGCTTGCAAGAAGTCCAGGCATGTTGATTGCGATCAGACTGTTGCCTGCACCTTGGAAGGAATTTACGCTCAAGCAAGCCAAAGCTGCGAGAGGTTTGGGCCGAACATCACACCAGCCATCAGATTCCAAAATCTTAGTGGCAGTGCTGCATTGCTGGCCCATAGCAGATATAGCAGATTGTCAAGCGGACAACCAAGTGAACAGACGGGCTGGCGGCCTGGATGGCCGTCGGTTTCCTGGTCTGGCTGCAAGGCTTGGAAACAAATCTTGAAAGCTCTTAGCTGACGAGGAGCTTCGCATCGTCGTGTATAAGCGCTGTATGTGGGTTGTAGAGTGCGTGTCCCAATGTAGTGCACTCAATCTTCGGAAGCTTAAGAGGTCTACTCTTGCGCACACCGTGACGCCGAGAACATGAAGCAAAGCATGACGGCCGCAACAGCTGCGAGGCTGCTTGGGCCCAGGCCCCTCTTGCGAAAGCTCCCAGGACGCAACTTCCAAAGACTCGTGGGAGTTCGCCTCGAAACTGTATAAAGATTCCTGCTGCCACCCCACTGCAGTTTTCTTGTCTTCTTGAAGCAAGCGACAAACATGCCTCAACTGTCCGTGCTGTCATTGCACATCTTGCACAGGGCTGTTCGCAGGTGGCGAACTTACCACTCAAGATCATTCAGATGCGCAGCAAGCGCGAGTATGCTGGCTGCAGGAAGATCAGGGCGCGGACTAGATTTTGTGCCATGCGCAGGCGGAACTCGCGGCTCCTGGGCAGCTCGGCCACAGCAGGCCATAGCATGTCACGGCAACTCCATGAGATCCGATGAGCACCCGGCAGCCCAGACGTGCCACGGCCGGAGGACTCGACTCTGGTTTCCTGGCCCAACGGTTGGGGCCCAACGAACATCCCTGCTGCCGTCATTATGCATTGCAGACTGCTGCGATCTGCTGCGCATGCTGTGACAAATTCTCGCGCGGATGACGTTCCAGGGCCTTGGCCAGAAGGCTACAGGCGCAGCATCAGAGTCAAATAAGGGTCTAGACTCATTTTCTCTTCTCCCGAATGCGAGCAAGCTGCGAGAGCCACATGCCGACGACCTCGTGAGCCAAAGCTCCGAACTCACACGCTACATCGGATGATGCATGTGATTGGCAATGGCACTCTGCCGGGATCCTGGCTCTATAGCCTCTCTGTTCTAGTCTCTCTCTGGCCTGCCGCAAACGAAACGCGAAGGAAGTATGTGGAAGGATCTATGAAACCAGAACAGCCCACCTTCTCCAGCAGATCTACGTGGCACTTCATGGCGGGCGCCATGGCATCACTAAGGATGAGCAGCGCCAGGGTGCCCTGAGGAAGGCAAGGGCTGGGGCATTTGGTGCGCGAGGGCAAAGCTACAGCAAGTGATTTGTTGCAACTCAGCGGGCTCCCAAAATTCGGGTTTGAGCTGCGGCGTGGGAAGCCCAAGCCTCGTGGTCATAGGCCACAAGCTTCTGCATCAGCTTTCCGGCGGGCCAGGTGCTGTCCGGGACCTTCCACTGAAAGATGCAATTGGTGGCTTTCTCCTTTGCATATCTTGCATGCTTCTCCCACTGCGTCGATTAAGCGATGGCATTGCCTGAACATGCAAGCTCCTCACAACCGGTTCCACCTGTGGCAAAAGCTTTGCAAGATCCTGCTCGAAGGCCATTTCCTCCTGACCGAGAGATGGCTCGGGATGGGCACCGAAAATGGAAGATGATGCCGCTCTCCTCACGGGTCGGCCTCAAGACGAGCCGCAGAACATTCTCTGGAAGAGCCTCCCAAGAACCGGCAGCAGGCCTCCCTATTAGGACGGACTCCCAACCCCATCCCCACTCGAGGCAAGCGCGTGCCTCCGCTACGAAGGCCAGGTCGCCACCTGGCTGAAGCTGAAGCTGCCGTAGGGTCAGCTGGAGCCGTTTCACTCGTGACCAGATCTGCGCGTTGCCACCCATTGCGAGCCGCTTTGTGCACCGACCATCAGCCAGGGTGCCTGTGATGGCTTCGGCAAGCTGCTCTGAGGTCAGCTTCCCACCCTGGCATTTCAGCCGCCGAGTGATGGCACTGCAGGCAGACATGGAACAGCTGGGATGAGAACCAAACTTGTAACCTACGCCGTCTGCAAATCAGACTTCCGGCGAGGAGTCACCGCATGCCAAGCTGCCTTTCCGGTCGGTGCTTCGGACACGTAGACTTGTTGCAAGGGGCGCTCCAGAAGAAACTCCTCACGACAGACAGACGCTCGAATCTGCATGTCACCGGAGACACTCGAAACGAATCACGAGTCCTCCTCGCCCGGCTGCGGCACGACCACCAGCCCGAGCATCTCCTGCAAGGCAGTAGCTGAAGTGCTCAAGCCCAAACCCAGTGCCTGCCAGGGTCACTGCTGCGGCCGAGGTCGCCCACTTCACAGGTGGAAAAGGGCGGGTTGAGGGACCACACAACTGATTACCCGTTCTGGCCGTGCCTGGGGTTTGAGGTTCTGGTACTTCTTGGTGTCATCCGCACCACAAACAGCCACCACCTCAGCAGCATTGGTTCAGTGGAAGAAAGTTCGAAAGCCACTGCCTGCGACTTGCCACAACATCTCGCAGCCAAAACAACGTCATTGACGATCCGAACCCTCTTTTCAGAGTTTGCACTCAGAAGTGAAAGAACGCTGCAAGTACCGGATGCAGCAAAGAGGAGTGGTCCAAATGAGAGGTTGCAGCTTCTGAAGGAAACGATTCCTGCGGTCGTCGCGGAACATGGTGGGTTGCCTGCCGGAAGCAGCCTGGGCTCCCGCACCCTCACCCGCGGAGCGGACTTTGAGCTGAGACCCGTCTCCTCTGCGCGTCCCGCTCAAAATATCAAGGGCCTTTGAGACACATTGGAATGAGAGACCTCAAGATAAAACAGAAAAAAAGCTGACTGCAGCAAGGTTGAACATGCATACATGGATAAGAACCAACACATGTATGTGTATACCACATGGATGCCTGCCTGCATGTATACACGTATTTTTACATCTGTCCACATGTGTTGTACATGACTGAAAGGAACGAGATCGCAAAGCATGAGCCATGGTCTTGAAAGTCCGTCCGTTTTCCCCAGCCGTTCCCAAAACTGCCATGCTCTGACGCTGAGGCTGCATACGTAATGGCCACGTGAATGTGGGCCGGTGAGGTTGGGGAATGACGGAATGTTCCAGTGGGGAACGATGGCATGTTCTAAAGTGTTACATGCTTAGTATGTGCCTCTTAGTCTTGCATGCCCCAAGTTTTGTTGCGTCACAACTTTCGGAGACTGTTGCCATCCATTCGTGGATCCATCGCGAGGCCATCGCTGACACACTGCTCTACAGCTGTCTACAACACTAAAGACACTGACCTGTAGATCAATGCTCACATCCACTCGAGAGGTTCCAACATTGGAGGCTCGCTTCAGTCTCGGCTCCTCGACGAGGGCCTTTCGCAAGCTCTCCAGCACCTCGTCCGTCGGATTTGTGCAGCTCGGAATGACCATGGGGGTCGGAGTTGCAGCTTTGCGCGTGCAAAATTTAGCGGCGATTCACTCTGGTTAGTCGCTAAATTGCGTACTGCAGATTATTGCCATCACGGCCTCCAGCTCCTTGACTGGCTCCTGGCGAAGGGCCCAGGCTGATGCCTGAAGCAGGCATGACCCAGGAAAGAATTGCACCTGCCACGTCAGAGCCATGCTAACATGCTGAAAGCCTCCAGGAGTCCTTCAGCCTGCACGGCTTCACGGACAGCTGCCAGGCGAAATTCAGGAGACCTGGAGGCGTTTGAGGCGCTCCAAGGGGCGGTGCTGCGGAGTGAAATTGCAGACTCGCACATGCAAGGAACTTTTCGCGAGACGTTCGGCGTTAGGTTTCCAGAACTCCTGAAATCAGGCCAGGAAGCAGTGGTCCACCAGCCATTGGCGCCAACCATCCTTCGTGCTGTTCGGGGCAGTGGTTTCTTGCAAAAAACACTTCTTGCTCTGTGTATCTTGTTGTCAACATCCGAGTGCAACATGGGCCGGGCCTGCCAAGACGTCGTAGCCGGCACGTTCCAACCGCTGCGCAGCCTCAAGACATCGCGGGGCGGGTACTTCTCATAAAAGGGTGCAAGCTACAAGGACTGTACAGCTGCAGCCACAACGGTGAAAACCTTGTTTTGTCTATACAGGCGCGATTGTTCCTCCTGGAACTGTTAGGACCTTAAGGTAAATCAGCTACCAGGGTTCACATGTGAGGAGAATTGAAGTCATTTCCACTTCAAAGAGCACTCCGCCAGTGGAAAGACTGGTCCAAGCATGTCCAACCGCTTGTACTGCTGGCAGGCACGCAAGCCCGAGCCCACAGCCCCGAAGAACAAGTCACAATAGCAGACAGTTCGACCTGATGACTGTATGAATACTATATGATAGATGACGACCAGTCATCGTACACGGATATCTCACACCTGCAAGCTGTCTAGTTTGAGTGTTCACTATCAAGTGGAAGTGTCTTCAAACTGACACCTTGGCAAGGCTTCAGTAAGAGGCCCCGCGAAGGCGACCAAAACAGTTGCATGCTCAGAGCGGCAAAGTGCAGAAAGGACAGGCAGCATCATTCTTACGAGGCACTAAGGTTTCTGGAGCTGCCACGAACGCTTAGGTGGGGGATCTGGTAAAGCTAGAAATTGCGAACTTGACTCTTCTCTTCATGTTTGTTCTCGACTATATCATGTGCCTGTGCGTGTGCGTGTGTCTCTGTGTCTCTGTGTGTCTGTGTCTCTGTGTGTCTCTGTGTGTGTGTCTGTGTGTGTGTCTGTGTGTCTGTGTGTGCGCGTGCGTGCGTGCGCGGGCGGGCGGGCGTGCGTGTGCGTGCGCGTGCGCATGCGCGCGCGCGCGCCGGCTGTCTGCATCCCTACGTGTCTCTGTCCGTCTACCTGCCCGCCTGCCTGTCTGTCTGTCCGTTTGTTTCTGTGTCTGTCCTTGACATTATTTTACCGTATTTGCCTTCTGCCTCAATCTTTATCTTGCAGGTCGCGTAGCTAGGGAGAGCTCTTTCTGTATAACAACAGTTGTTACTTTGATCTCGCCGGTCTGCTTCGCATCCGCATCCTCTTCTCAGTCTAGTCTTATCGGTACGGCGCCAATTCTGCGCCGACCTGTCCTCAAGATCTGTACGCTCTGGATGGAAAGCCAGGCCCCTTAGGCTTCTGCCTTGGAAAAGTTAACCTTGGCTCTTTTCAGACCACGAGCCCCACCGCTTCAGTGAGTGGTGAAGTGATCCTTTTTTCAGTTAGCCGGCTGAGGTGCTTTCGTCTCGAAAAAAGCGCCTGGAGGAGGCTCCAACTCCAATGAGCACTCTTCGCATTATCACTTTGAGCGACAGAAGCAGCCATATCTATGGAGTAACTCTGGTGTTCTGGTATTCCCCCTTATCCCATGCCAGACCAGCGGCAACTAACAGCCCCTCAGCCAGCCAATTGATCGACTCGCGGACTGGGGATCCGCACGCCATGTTGTGGCAAAGATGATCGGCTCGTGAAGTAAGTATGGATGCAATGTGAGGCCGTGACTGTATTCTCCACTTCTGCGCTACCCCCACCCGGGCCCTGGTGCATCGCGGTCTCCGTGTGCATGCAGGGCCACACATGTGGGCCGTTCGATCCCCTGCAGATTTTGCGGGTCCGCTGGTGCTACGGTCAAAGCCGACGAATTGGTGTAAAAACCTCGGCACTGCAGGACTCAACACCCCAACCCACGAATAAGTGAGAAGTACCCCACTCCATAAAGCTCTTTGACCGTCGCTTCCCTGAGGAACGCTCAAGCATCGTGCGAGAAGAGTAAGAGCCACCGTGTGCATTCAGCCGAGCACAGACTCATCTCGGCCCCGAGATCTTGGCATAAAAACCGACAGGCCTAAGTCTTCATCACACACTCCTTCCAGCACCAACACAAACCTGTACACAAGTGACACGTATTTCCATTGGGGAGAAGTCGGAATTTATTGCGGCATGGCTATAGGTCTAGGCAGTGCAATAGAGCGCGGGCGCTTGTAAGGGATGGCCGGGGCTTCAGCACTCTCATGTCTGCGGGCTGGAAAACTCTTTTTGAGTGCTCGGAGGCAAAACCAGGATTCAGCCGACAAGCAGATGGGATGATCATAGGGACTCCCAGCTCAGCTGTACAAATCCGCTGCTGCCACCAGTTTCCTCACAGAGTGTCTCTGACGAACCTCTTGGCCAGAGTCCCTGCAGGCATGGAGCCTGGAGACACTATAGATCTCTAAAACATTCGATTTACCCCTTATATAACAGTGCAAAGCCGGTTGGCAGAGGTTTGCAGCACTCCATGGCATCAGCCTGTTATCTGACTGAGATCCAGAATCCAGCCTGAAAGAAATGCAAAGTGGCTTGAGGAAGCTTTTCAAACCTTGAAGCTTGCACCTTTACAAGTAAGACCGGCTGGTCTAGCACCTCGCTGTCTTGTTGGACGGGGAACTCAGTCTCCACGTGTGTTCTTCAACACCACATGCGTTGCAAGTGACAGTCTGATCAAAATCGTCTAGAGCAAGTCAAATCTTCCACACCCCCGAGGAACTAACAGGGAAACCGTCGTGCCAACCAGGCATGGGGCCACATAAGGGCCAATGGGCCGCTTCCGCTCCAGTGGTGGTGAGGGGTGTCCGCTGACCCTACTTGGACTCCTCGTTAGCTCCGGGGAGTGTGGGGCAGGTCATGCACAGTACGGCCATTCATGGCCATCCACTTGAATGTGGCAAGGACCCCAAATCGCTGACCTAAGCAAGTCTCATGGAAACCTCCTGACTTGTGGGCAAAGCATGACGGCTCTTCCTATCGCTGAGTGCCTTGCACATTGCAGGACTCTGGATCACACCTCACGGATTTGCTTGAGTACAGTACACAGCTTCCCAGTGCAATCTTACCTGGGAGTGCTTGCCATGGCCTGGCTTTTTCATGAAATTTCCGGAACTTCCGAAATCGGGGAACAACTCGGCCCGAACCATTGGACCATGGTCCGAAAGGAATATCCACCAACTCACACTTTCAAGCGGACAGCCGAGCCTGAAATTTGCCAGAGGGCAATAGGTGCTGCTTCTGGGAGTTCCCATTTAAACATTGAACCTCAGCTGCAGCGCCAAACAACTAGACTCAGACAAATCAAGACGGGCACTGCCTACTCAGCGAGGCTCTTGCGGACATTGCCGTTCTGCACTCTGCCAGGTCACTCCGTCTGCTGGAGCTGAGGCCCTCACCAGGACAGAGCTGCATTGGTTCCAGTCCTTCACTAGAAAAGCATCAAGTGAACAAAGCGAGGAACCTAAGTTACCAAAACTCAATCGCAGATGCTCGCGACAGCAAGGCAGGCTCCTCAGCGTTGTGGCGCTGCAGCTCGAGGCTCCAGCGCTCGACCTCGCGCATCAGAGCCTCAGTATGCGAGGGCGCTGCTCCCTGCAGGTTCCTTCTTTTGACTGCACTGGCTGCGAGCTTCGAACCTCCACACGCTCCTGGACTGCTGGGGGAAGGTGTCGCACCTTCCACCAGGCTGGAGCGGCTTGACAGACGCTGAAGGTCAAGTCTCAGCCAAGATCTTGCGGCGCTGAGTTGGCCGCTTCCTCTCCTCCCGCCGCCCCTGTGACAGCCTCTATATGACTCTGTGGTCGACGGTCAGAGCTGTCCTGCGCTTCTGCCGAGGGCGGGGCTCTTCGCACCAATGTGGCCTGGGGAGCCGAATCGCCGGCACCAACCAGTAAGGACAGCACCTCGATATTTGGAAACACGGATCCAAGGAAATCTTCAGCAAGAATCGAGCCCTCAAGCCCCAGCCGTTCGGGTGCAGCTTTTTCAGTCTTGCCGATGGGTCCTTGTGGCCGTGGCTGCAAGCCACGACTAGAGGACCGTGACCAAGCCACATGCAGGGACAGAGACTTGCGCTCAACGTCCTCTGCACGACGAGGTAAAATGCACATAAATCTTGAGAATGTTTAACAAAAATCATGCTACCACGCGCTCTGCTGCGCCAAACTGGACCCCACATCTGTTCGACGACTGGGGCGGGAGAGCAAAATCTTCACCTAGGATGTCAGCACTTGCCTTCACATCAGTTGACGCCAGTCTTTCTCAGGTCGCCGGAGAGATTGCTCCACTGAAACCCGAGAGGAAAAACGCTGGCTTCCGACCAGGTCGGATGAGCGAAGGACTTTCAGCTCAGGGTCGGGCATCGGGCAGGCGCCACTAAAGGCCTGCTTGGCCGATCGCGACCTACGGTCACTCCGTGCCAGTGCCGTGAGTTGTGAGCGTCAAAACGAACGCCCTGGCGGCTGATGCAGCAAGGAATGCAGTATGGCCATATTGTGGATTTCCATCAGCCGCCGGGGTTATGGTGCTGCTGGAGGCACTTCTACGAGCACGACGAGCATCAACGCATTATGCATAATGCTGTCGGGCTGGAATCTTTCTCCTTCTTATCATATCGACCTAAAGGTGGCAAAGTAAAGCTCAAGCACTTGTCTCCGACCCTAGTCCAACTTAGACCTCCGACTGTTGTTAAGAAAGCCGTAGCGCTGTCGCATGGTGAGCCAGGCCATAGCAGCGCAAACGCTTAAAATTTCCCAGGGGAAGGCTGGCCAGATGCGGCTAGATTCTGCTAGACTTCAGTCTCGGGCACGCTGCCTGGCAGCAACGCCTCCTTCATGGCACTGTCTGGCCTGGGAGCTGGCAACGGTCTGTTGAATTGGGCTTGGGCCTTGCCCAGAGACACCAGGACCACCCAACGCCTCCTAGGGGCCAACAAGTAACAGACTATAGCGCAGGGTACTCCATGGGACCCGTTCCATTAAATCTGCTCTGGCCATTGAGAAGCGTTGCTGTCTGTTGATGCTTGAAGACGTTCTGGGACTGCCCATGATGCTGCTGCTGGGCTGGTTTAGGTCCTTGAGATGCAGAGGTTGTGTCCACCGTAGCGAGCTAAGCTTCAACATTCTGCAGCTGCACAATCAGGTTTTACGGAAAAGCCAACGAGACCAAAAAAAATCGAAGTTGGGCCGGAAAGCCCTGACACACAGGAGGAAGATGAGAATAGGGTGCGACAGACAAATTGAACTGATAAAACAACGTGAGCACGAATAAGATTATGCCAGCGGAGATCCCCAACTTGTGAAAGACCTCACCTTAAGCAGGCCCCTAAGACCAACAAGTCACGACCGCCGGGCCGGTGGTTCGCTATGCTTAGGAAATTGCAAGTCACAACAAGTTGCCATCTGTGTGCTTCCAGTAGTTACGCCACTTTTCGGAAAGCTTCCGTGTACGAAAGATGTACTCCAACTGTGTTCGGCAACACAGGGGCCTTCAGAAGGAGACCGCCAAGAGGCCACCAAGGAGACCACAACGAGAACAGGACCACCAGGAGACTACCAGGAGACCACCAAGACACCAGCAGGAGACCAGCAAGAGACCAGCAAGAGGCCACCAGATTGCCAGCAGACCACCAAGAGACCACCAGGAGAGCAGCAGGAGAGCACCGGGACAGCACCAGGAGACCACCACAAAGATCACCAGGAGATGAAGCGCCAGGAAGCCATCCAGAGAACACCAGCAGATCATCAAACACACATCCAGCGAGATCAGCAGAAGGCCACCCACCAAAAGGTATCTCTCCGGGGGCTTCACAACCAAATGACAAAACCGAAGCCGCAAGGTCCAAGACTCGAACCGGAAGCCTTTAAGCATACCGTGCCGCAAGGCTGGTGGATTTCAGAAACCTATCAGAGAGGCTTCCAGATTCTAGAAGAAGCAAAGATTACTGCCGACACATGAAGAAAAATTGAAATTGGTAACAAATAGAGAATTCAGTGAAAGTAACAAATTAGGAAAACGGAGCAAAAAGCAGGAAAGTTGAACACGCTAAAATTTGACAAAACAACGAATGTAAGAAAATAACTCCAAAAACAATGTTAAAACAAATCTACAAGGAAATTAACAAAAATATATATGATAAATCGAACATCTTTTGAGAGGAAATAGATACATCTTATGACAAATTCGCCAAAGAAACGCAAATCAGAATCGAAACTGGATTCGGAAATATTCGGAACGTGTCATCGCCTTTTTCAGGACTGTCTGGGGAAGGAACTCTGCCCCAAATCTACCATATGTGCTTCCCGACTGCAGTATCACAGAACGAACTCTCAGGCCCAGAAAAACAAGTTTACGCTTCGGACCATCGCTCCAGACGAACATAGAAGAATGTGAAACCCTCATCTGCCAGGAGACAGTGAAGATTTCGGAATGATTTAGACTTTTTCGGCATGCAGAGTCCACGTAGGGCACCAAGAAATCAACAAGACGGTGCTCGGCCCAAAACGGTGTGACGATAGTTCTCGTGTTCGACGGTCGTAGAGAGGTGGCATCTGGCTGCTCGCCGACCCAGGAGCAAAACTCTTGCATCATGCACGAAACTCAAATCCCAAGCTCTCTGAATTGCTCACGAGCCAAGCTCCTTTGCTATTTAAACCTCGAAGAAGTGACTGAGACATCTCAGGCTTCGACGACTGCGGAGGACTGCTCGTCAGCTTTCCGGCACTTGCCTCTGCCAGTTCCTTCCTCACCTGAGCTGCTGTGCTCGCAATGGGCCTTACCGGCACAAGTTCTCTTTGGCCAGCGGTTCACTTGACACATAAGGCTTCATCGGCACTCACACAGAAACATACATATGTGCAACAGGACAATCGATATGTATCGCACGTGCTATTGCTGTTGCTGCCTTCCCCGACCCCCCCCCCTCCGGAACTCGAATTGACGACTACCAAGTGGCTTGACGTCGCACGCGTCGTCGAGCTTCTGCGATAACCCCACGGAACACGGCCACTCGCACACAGTAGCGCCTGCAACAGCTATCTGTGTTGAGATGCAGCTTAAGGCTTAGGTGGCCCTGACTCCTGCTGAACCCCTGGACATATCCTGCCATGGCCCCTGCATCCCTCAATTTCGATCCATTCTGATCTGTTGTGTTTGTGGGGCTGCATGAATGCGCCAGCTGTCCGCTGGTACTTGAAACCTCCGTATCTGCTCGGCGGGTTGATGCAACGTGGCATGCTCGCGGCCCCATCCGATCCTGCCTGACAATGTATCCAAGTTGAGGGCAGGTGCGCTTTCGTCGCTCAATGACTCCCATGAACCTGTGCTGAGCTGATTTCGAGACCCTGTTGTGCGGATTCTACTGCCGTTGATAGGGGCAAACGCCAGCAAACCACTCCGATGACAGGAAACCCTCCTTCACAGGCTCTGCCCGAATTAGAAAAACAAGCACCTGCAAAAGTTCTTTGCTTGCTGACTCCAGAGTGGCCGTTCCCGCGTGAGGTAGAGCACCTCGATGTACGTTAGAGCATAGCCTTCCAGGGGCCAAAACGATGCCAAAAGTGACGAATAGTGATGAGACCTCATGAAGTTCCCTGCCAGGCTCGAGATTTTTCGACAAAGGAGCCTGCAACCGGTCGTATCAAACTCGTGTCTGAGAGGACGAAGTCTTCGCCCCATACAGCACCATCTTTCTGAACATGGCTGTTCAAAGCAACCAGTCCTCTCGTGGCTGAGCTTTTCAAGAAGCCGTTTGTTTAACTAGATCAACTGCTACGAGTGCACGCAGACAACGGCGGACTCCTTTGGAGAGGATGTAGAGCACCTGCACATTGTCGAAGCTTTCTTGCCTGGGGGCACGACAGGGCGGTCACGGGTGAACGGACCGTGACCCACTTTAGTCTCGTGAACGGCTCCACGCCAAGCTTCTGAGCAAAGGCTTGCAGTTCAAGCTGACGAGAGATGTCGGCGACGCAGGCTCGATAAGGAGCCGTGTGAACTCCACGCATTTCCTGGCAAAATTCGTGAATTCGACGAATTTTGCGCATCTGACGGAAGGGAAGGGAACAGGGTGTGTTTCAGATCGCACGTCGAGTGTCCAGCGCATCCACAAGCCGCATGAACTGAGCAAAGAAGTGGACTTTGGCAATCCATGTTAAGTGCAGCGCCGTGCAGACCTGGCGGCAAAACGCAAAGCCGGATCCGGTCTGTGTCCGAGTCTGTCCGAGTGATCTCACCTCGCCTCCGACTGCAGCTGCGGGCTAAGCTGTCCCAGGAGCTCTTGCTGATGCCTCGAAGCAAGCGGTTTTGCTCTGCGGCCGACTGCCCCCTGGGGCTGAGCCTTTCTCAGTCCGAGAAGCAGATGCTGCATCAGAAACCTGTTGGAGAGGAAGAAGCTGCGCAAGCGACTTCGCATCTCAAAAGGCAGCTCCTGATCGGCCATCATCCTCAAGCAGCCCGAGAGCGCCAAGCAGAGAAGAGCGTGTTTTAAGATTTTAAGCCTCCTTTTTCTTAAGAGCCTCGGGAGCGGCCTCGGCTTGGCACGGGCTCCAAGCCTCTCCTTTTCTCACCTGTGTTGGGCTCTCCTCTTCGTCTCTTGGACACATCGGAGCGTTTGTTCTGCCTCCCTCTCTCTGTTGCGTGGCTGTTTCTCTTTCTGCATTGCTGCAAATCTTAAACAGTCTAGACAAGCTAGTATTCGAGCTTTTCTAGCTTTGTCACCGTAGAAATCCTAGCGAAACAGGAAAGCTCCTAGAATTTCGAGATTGTCAAGCATTGAGAAGCTATTGATTACTCTGGCATTTCTGGCTTTGCAAGCCGTGCTGGCCGCTGGCCTCCCTACGATTTCAAGAACTAGGATTGTAGTTTTCTAGCTTTACAATGGCAGAGTCATCTAGTCCCCAGAACAGCACTGCATGCTACGAGTATATAAAGGTATCACCCCCCACATGCCAAGCTCCAAACCCCAAACCCTCGGATCTTTTCCAGGACGGCCGCAGATCTGAGTGGGAATCCCTTGCACGACATCGTTTCACCACCCTGGAAGCCGGTACCAGCAGCTGCCGCCCCAAAGCAAGACCGTTACTTCCTCAACGAATAATTTTTGCCCTGTGCGCTAAGGTGTGTGTGCCCGGGAAAAAAGGACCTCACTCCTTCACCAAGGCTTTCTCTGCCCCCTCCTTCCTGCGATTATCCTTGAGTCATTGAGGGACCCCTAACCCCCTACTTCCTTTAACTTTATGCAGGCTCTTCTGGTTTTCTCAACCTGAATCTCTGTGCCAGGTACTCCGGCCCCGCTTTCCATTTGTAGTGGGCCTTGTGTTTGGGGCAGGTGGGGATAATCAGGTTAGGCGCCCGAGTTGTAATCAAGGCGTCTCTCCCACGCCCACTGCAAGCGAAAAACCTTACTGACCTTACCGCCGCTGTGAGGGTCTTTGCGCCCCGTGTGCCTGGGTCTGTGTGTTCGGATCGCCTTGCCGCGTGGGTCCTCCCATCTTGAGACAAGTAGGAATAGGACCGACTATTTCTCATTATAAGGCATTACAAGGCCACACTGTTCCGCAGTACTTACTCTTGCTTGCTTGCTTGCACGCCGTACTTACTCTCTCTCTCTCTGTCTACGAAGGCGTTCCTGTGCACCTTGTGCCGGGGTCGCGCGGGGGGTTGTTCGGGCACTCTCCCGCTGTAGGTGGGAACAAGACCTGCGAGTATTTTCCCCCACCCCCAGGCTTTTGTGTCTTTCCGGTGGAGAGGGGGGTCCAAAAACTTGCGCACACCGAAAGAAACCCAAGCCCTCTGGCATGAGCAGGTGTCCTGTTCAGATGGTGCATCTTCTTCCGGAAGATCTGGCTCTCTGCGTTAAAGTCCGCCACGATTGCACACACCTCGCCCAAGACGTATGCCCAGCAAAGGCCAGACGACATCACCATGAAGATGCAGATCAGGCGTTCCACAATATTTTTGGGACCCAGATCGCCATAGCCGACGGAAGTCATGGTGTATGAGCAGAAATAGAAGGATGCGATGTACGTGGTGAGGGCTGAGTCCCGATCAGCTCCGAAAAGCAGATCCGTGGCCTCGATGTCATCCAGCCATTGCGGCTGGTCTCCATCAACCTGAGCGACACTTTCCATGCACTCTCAGCAAGCCAGTGTAGCTGCAGAAAGCCCTAGAAACAACCACAGACGAGTTGGGCACCTTGCCGGGAGGTGCCACGGGCTGAGCTGATAGAAGCTGAGACCCTCTAACCTTCTACTGATAGAAGCTGAGACCAATAATAGTGGTAATTGTTATGATAATAATGTTAATAATTGTAGTAGTAATAACTAATAATGATTATAATGACTACAGACTACAGCAAACAACAGCCCCTGGCTCAGCCAAGGAAGCCAGCTGCAGCGTCATGGCCCAAACGCAGGATTGCCAGTGGACCATGAGGAGCAGAATCACAAGGAATCGGAAAAGCGCGATGTGCCTAAGTTGCCGGTTTCTCCAGGCACATGTTTTGGCACATTTTTCGGCACGTCTGCAGCAAGCTTTCTGCCAAGTCTCTGGTAGGGTATAGAGTAGGGAATCTCGAAGCGGTGCATGATCCTGATAAAGGAAGGGCTTCCAAGATGCACATAGGAAGTTGGAAATGCTCTACATACGGTAACTGTATACACTCCCTCTTAATTTAACTATAGGCCTGAAACCCGGGTAAGTCCTATCCTGTAAACCCTAAACCCGAGATCCCAAAGCCTCTGTTCACCCTGCGTCAAACTCTATCCTAGACTCCACGACCTACGAGTCTCTCTGGAAGCGGCATGAAGCGGCACGGTGCCTGGACGTCTTCAATAGCCGGAAGAGCTTCAGCAAGCGGAGCACTCGCAGAGCGCGGATGGATTTCCAGGACGCGACGCCCTCATTGCCCATGGTCAAACCTGGTCACTGAAGGTTTCCTAGTAAGGTTGCTACTGCAGCGACGGCTACCACGCAGATCATCACTGAGGTCCGCCCCCCACTGTGCGCAAGCTTTCTGCTTCTTATCACTGCTTCTTTCTGCCAAACTGTCGCTGGCTCTACCACGCACGGCAGACTAGGTCGCCCGGTCTGGTCCGAGCAACCCTATTCAGTGTTCCGGACTGACTGCAAAGGACAGCGGAATTTGCTGAACGCAGACGAGAGGCCGAGAATGTCGAAGGGAACAAGGGTTATCACATCAAGTACGAACCACGTCTTCAAGTAATTGAGTGCTATCCTCAGCTGCAGCGAGTCACAGAGTGCGCGGTCCGTCAAGGCCTCAAGCAAGAAACGCAGGGGTTCTGCGTGAAAACTCCAACATGTGTGCGAATGAGGTTTCCGATGTGGCCTTCGTAATCCACTGGACCCCTTGCGCCTACTGGCATGCAGCTATGCCAAGTGTGCAGTTGCTTGCAGCATCGCGCGTAATCATGGCAGATGCCGTGGTTGAGATATTTCATGTCACACCATTCTCCTATAATTTCTTTTGAGGCTGGAAGGGTACAAGCAACTTTCATTCCAATCCCAACTTCTCTCCGACTGATTAGACCGCCCAATCTGCACCCGACATTCGAGCCGTCTCTATATCTCTCCATGCTTTCTGCTCCTACGCTTTGGGCTTAATCGCGTCTACATGGGTCTACTCTGAAACCGCCCGAGGTTCTTGTGGAGACGGACTTCCCACTGCATGCCGCGAGCAGTCAACCGCCGGTAAGACGTGAAGAACTGAAGTATGGAGTCGATCAGGAAGACGGTGTCCTTGTCAGGAGAAGAACACCCCTCTTTAGTTTCCACTCATGTCCACCCACACAACGACAAAACCTGTCTAGAACAGGCAGGCGGCCACCAGAATACTAAACACCAGCGAGAAGTCCCATTGGACCTGTGAGACTTCCAGAACGCCGCAGCAGACGCTTCTAGCACTACTAAACTACAAACACATGTCTCGTGTACCTGGAAGAAGCCAATCTGAAGTGGGGTGACGAGCGCCACGAAGATCAATGCTGCGCAGGTAATACACTGCCACCCCGTGCCAAACCAGTTGCTTTCGGGATTGATGACGTACCTGAGGAAACATCCTGATGCACATTTCATGATCCTTACGACGGTGCTTGTGTTGATCACTCATCTGCCTTTAACCTGTCACTTATGGACTCGACTGATGCCTCAGCGAATGGAGCTATCCAAGTTGCCACGGCTTCCCCTGAGAGAACTCCTTGGTCTTCCCTGCGCGCATGATCCTTGGCAGCCAAGACTCAGGGCGCTTTGACGGCGTCCAAGCCTTGAGCAGCGCCTGGCTCTCATTCCAAGCGTCATGAACCCTATCTTCTCCTCCTTGACCAACTTCGACACCTGCGATCTCCCAACCTCATTTTCATGAATCGTCAGCCACAGCATCCTTTGGTTGGCTGCACAAGTTAGTGTATACAGACAAGACGCCCAGGCTCTCGACTTTGATGTTTGAAGCTGCCGGCCAGAAGTTTCCCAGGACTGCGTGTACAGTTTGCTCAGCTCTTGCACCTGCTGAGATGCTCTGGCAAGTTTGAAAGCGAGATTCTTGTCTTGGTCCGGCAGCTAACACGGGGGAACACGCCCATGACGCGAGAAAGATGGATCCGGCCTCTGCGAAACTGCTGCTGCTGTTGACGGAAGTCGAGGGGTCAGACTTTTTCAAAGAGCTTGGTTCCTCGGCCTCAGCAAGTGCTGGCCGTTCGCACCTTCCTGCACCGAAGTACTGACAAACAGAACCATGTGAAAACAGAGCGGGAGATTGAAATGTTGCTGGCTCTCATGATTGTCATCATTCTGTTTGGCGAAGTTCTGGCTAAGGCATCGTGACTGACATTGAAAGTACGGTTGACACCTATGAGGGTCAGCGAATGTCAGTGCCTCCCTCAGATGGTATCTGCCACTAATATTTTCAAGATTTTCAAACACGAGCGCAGAAAGAACACACAATTCCACATTTGCCGCCTCGGTGAAGATGCGCAAGCAGCCGAGACAAGTTGACAGCAGACACCAGCGAAAAGACAACATCTGTTGTTCCAAGATAGCCGGCGTCCCTCTCCTTCACGAACCAACGGGATCGGAACGCAACCAAATGTCGATGTAAACAGCACTTTGGACTCCACGACTCCATGTTGTTTTTTGGAGACTGTCTTGGATGTTCGTGATCAAGTCGCCTTCTAGAAGCGTGTCTGTGAACTCACGAGACTGGCCACATCAGAAAATGAGACCAGGGACGAAGCACCAATTTCCAAGTCAGGCTGCAGGAGGCGGGGGCATATGGCTGGATGCAGCCAGGCGCAGCCCGGAGATATCCCTTCGCACCTTGCGAAGCGAGGCGAGTGTACCGTCGTGCTCTTGTTGCGGCTCCATGTCCGGCGTGCGGAGCGCGTGTGCAACTTTAGATGGTGCCACTATTGCACAGAGGCAACACACCCTCAAGCATGCCACAAATTTCAAAGCCCGCTGCCAAGCCACCTGATCGCAACCAGCGTCCTCTAAAGAATGATCGGTGGCAGCACGCTTTGTCGGAGGCACCTCGGGGGCGTTACGCTTACCACCGTAAGCACTCTCAACGTAGTCGAGTCAAGTTGCGTTGGCTGGGCGTCGAACCTTATGCCGTCGTGCGCCGTGACATGATACATGGCAATTGGCAAGTGCGCTTCTGTTCTGCTGATTCCGGCTCTCCTGCCGCTCCCAGGAATGTGGATCCCAAATCCGCCAGATTCTGACCAGCAGCATCACCAGGCTCCGCTCGAAATTTGGAGCCTGTCCTGTCTCCGGCGTCTGCGTGCACTTGTGCAATCTCCTTTGCCCGAAATTGGCCAAGACTCTCAGCAGCTGGAAGCACACGCACTGCATGAAATCTTCACTCGAGGCTGGCCGTCTCACAATTCTTCAAGCCAAGCATCTCTCAGCTGCTCATTCTCCAGTGACAGCTGCTGAAGCTTTGCAGCTTGCCGCTCAAACTCCTGAGTGAACATGGCTCGACCACATGGACATTCAGATCCGAAATCCTGCATTCCGATCTCTGTGTTTGCACCTTGCGTTTTCCAGTTCCACAGCCACCCCGTTGGCACTGCTATGCCTGGCCGGGGCCTAGCCTCGTGTGTTGAGCTGCCATGCCTGCGTCCTGCGACCCAGAGAGGAAGCTGTAAATTCCCCCACTCCAGAGCCGAGCTTCGCTGCTCAACTGGGTAAGCTGCTCGATCACGTCTCGGAAGCTCGACGCCATGTCGATGGTGTCTCTCTTTATAGTTGTTCTGTTCTGAGGGCTCTAGGTATTTGTAAGGGGGCGGACTTCGTGTGCTTTGGTTTGTGTCCCCGGCTTATCTTGGTCTGCTGAGAGCCTAACAGCTCGCAAGCCGAAGAGACTTGGGCGCTTCTCCAGCAGGTGCGATACCCAGTTTTCCGATCACAAAAAACTTCAGCGACTTCACGGCCCTTCACGAGAAAAGACGACCTGCCTGGCTAAACTGCGTGAGCAAAAGTCCCATCTCGGGGTCCACCTCCAAGCCTCCCACTCTCTGAGACGATAGCAGAGAGTTCAAACTCGATGCGTTCTCCAGGGCCCAGCCTTTCGCAGCCGACTCTGGGAAGCGGTGTGGCCTTACAAACCCAAGGGCAAGGCAATTCTGATGGAATCCGCTACTGGCAACGAGGCAGAACAAGCACTCTAGATGTCGAGGCCGTGACAGCAAACTCCTCAAGAGTCCTTCCCACAATCAGAACATGCCGGACATGTCGAGGTGACCCCGAAGCTTAGACATCTCATTTTCTAGATGCTGAGCACGATCATACAAGTCCCGCTTGCGTAGGCACACGCACACACAATCGACCTATAAGTTGAGCAAAGGTGAGGCTGCGGTAAGGTCCCAGGCGAGACCTGCTGTCGGACCCACCGCGCTGCCTGCACGTGGTTCGCCCGGCTTCTCCAAGCAGCACAGAATGACCATCCTGGCATGATAAGAAGTCTCCGATGTTCACCATGCATATCCATGCATTGCACAGGCTTCTTTATGGTCGCTAGCTCTCGTGGCTAGACTCTAGCGAGGCTAGCGGCCTCCCTGCCAGATTCGAGAAGACAGGGAAGGCCCGAACTCGGAACGACGTCGAAGCACTATCGCCCTTTCGAAAGCAGGCTCCTTAAAAGCTCCTCATATCCCAAGCCCTACCTTCTTGAACTGCGAAGGATGCTCATGATCCCGGCCTGGGAAGGACTAAGAAAAGCTCCACGTCGCAGTCCGTGCCTGAAGGCTTTTGCGAAAAGATCGCTCAGCAGCTCGGCAGCAACACACAGCGACGAATGATGAGCGCTGCTCCATACAATACAGGTTCAGCGCAGCATCAACACAGACATGGCACTTGCATGTGCAAGCCAAGCAAGCCAAGCTGCACATGTTCGTGAATGCTGGGGCCAATCTCTGGGCAACGCGAAATTCGGCAACCTGGGATGTTTCCGGGGCTAGGTCGATAGGTGTGAATGCTGGAGAAACCAAGACTCACGGGCAAAAGACCTGTAACTTCGTTCAGCATGGCTGTCGGGTAAAACATCGCCCTAAGGCTCACATTTTTTGGGATCATTGCTGGTCGGCATTACCATAGCCGATAGCCTCTCTTTCATGGCCAGCTTCGAGAATACGTTGACTAAGTAAGTCCAACTTACTGCCAAAACTCGCGAGCATCTGCGTGATCATTTTGCAAAGCAACGGCGGCCGACCACCCGGGCAGTAGGTAGGTAGCTAGGTAGGTAGGTAGGTAGGTAGGTAGGTAGGTAGGTAGGTAGGTAGGGTGGGTCGGTGGCAAGATCGGCCCGCTGTCACAGATGGGGAGCCTAGAAGCAAGCGGCCACTGCCCAGCGTGCATGTGGCAAGCATACTTGTGAGGAGTAGGG